ATATATATTAAGACTGAACCAATGGGTTTTGAAATTAATAGAATACATGACATTTCAAAAACCAGTGAGGATGGTGTTTATAATTCTTTCAGCTTTCTTCTTCCTTCATATTTGCAACCATATATTCCAAGTAAACTATAGATTTCAGAGTTTAATGAATAAGGTCATTGATGATGCTTATATTACTGTTGACAATACAGTGCCTTACCTTTCTTAAAATGACAATGTGAACATCTATGTAAAAAGTAAATGCATTTTAAACAATTCTAGTAATTTTATTACATTTAATCTGTACTAAGTATGCATGACCATGCGTGTATGAATGTGTGCACATGCAAATGCACCAATATGTCTGAAAACATTCATTCAAAATTCCTCAATAAAATTTTTGAAATGTCATTGTCTATGTCAAAAAATCCTGCATCATGACAAAGTAGGCTTTATCCCAGGGATGCAGGGATGTTTTAACATACCCAAGACAATAAATGTGGTAAATTGTGTAAGTGCACTTAAAGACAAAATTACATAAATATTTCAATACATGCACAAAAAAATTCTGAGAAAAATCCCAACATGACATCAAGATGAAAGGACTAGAGGAATCATACCTCTAAATATAAAATGTAATGCATGAAAACCTCACAACCAATATCATACTCAAAACTTGAATCATTCCCGTTTAAATCATGAGCAATACTAAACTGTGCATCAAACTCCCTCCTTTCCAGTATAATGTTGGAGTCACCAGCTGGAGCACGAAGGTAAAAGAAAGACATTAAAGTAGTAAAAATAACTCAAATTATTTCTAACATATGGCATTGGAGATCCTCAAAATTCTGTCATTAAATTTTAGAAGTGATCAACAATTTAAACAATGCAATATCAATTTACAAAACACACTGAGAAACACAATTTCATCTATATTCACATTAGCACTAAAGAATAAATATCTACAAATAAAGCTAACTTAGGAGACAAAAAACTTCTATATAATGAAAACTTTAAATCCTGAAAATGAAGAACAGCTCTGGAGGGATTGTCAATCCATATCTTGGCACTCAGCTTCAAAGACTGAGTAACCATGTTCCAAGTGTCTGAATCATGAATTCTTCCCTTGTTACTAATTTAACATATATTAACATATGGTTGTTTTCCTTTAGAGTACCTGACTAAATCAAAGGTGCATATTGCAAGAGCTAGGAAAGCTTCACCCATGTTACCTCAAAAATATGGCTGCATAAACAACACCTGAACAAGAAATATGAACATGTAATGAGAAAATCTCATGGGTCTTAACCCCTAAACCAAGGACTATTGGAAGTATTGGACTATTGGATGCTCAGAGTAAGAATATTAGTCTTCTACAGGGATTGTCTCACTAATTGATTATCAAAATACAATGTGGTCAGCCCTGAAATTATAGACATGCAGCAATATTAAATGGACAATGAACACAGAAGGTTGTATTTGTGTGTGTGTGTGTGTGTGTGTGTAATAATAACACATAAAAGAAGGCCATGAATTAGACAGAGATAGAAATAGGGGAATGGAGAGCTTGTAGAGAAGAAGAGGGCAATGATGTAATTATATTTTAATCTTAAAACGAACAAAACAAAAACAAAAAATAGCAATAACAACAACAAAAATGAATTAGCTGCAGAAATCCAAGATCAGCAAACTTGATATGCAGTCATTCCTTATATTATGAATTATACTCAGATGAACTTTTATGTTTTGTGAGTTTTGATATTGTCCATGTTTTTTCCCTCAATTCTGACTGAATATTTCTCAATTCATTTTTTGCCCTTTATTTCTATAGCACACTTTTCACTTCCTGCCTCTTCTATTCCAAATCAAGCTGGTCCATGTTTTATGCTAAAGATTTTTGTCTTATCTATTTACACTTATTGCTTTTCCTTTTGTCTTTCTATTATGATGGGCTTACATCACATTTCTGTCATAACATTATTCTTCTGTAGCTCGAGGCTTTTAATTATCACTTAATGAAACAATCTTTTTATTAATTTCTTCAAACATTGAATTTCATTTTGCTTTTATATGTGTTATATTCCAAAATAACTGTTAAAACCTTTTTCTTCTTCACATCTGTATACATTTGCTAAGAAACTCAATTCATCATGTTGAACTTTGAAAAGAAAAATGTATGTGACTAAAATAATTTTGAGAAGTTCTAAAAATAATTGGAAATACTTTAAAACATACTAACACCTCCATGCCACCTTTACCAATCATATAATTTTAGCTTATAATTTTATAGTAGAGGTTGATAATGACTTTTAATCATATGTAATACTGACTTCTATTTCCTTGAAGTAGGATCATTACTGTCTTGAATCAAATCAGTGTCTTTTGCCATTATGGACACCAAAGGAAACCAAAATAATGTTTCCCCCATTAACATTCTCTCAAAGTGAGGGAAGTTCAGAAGACTAAGAAATCTCACAGACTCCTGAGGTCTCTACACAAGGCCATATAGCAGTAAACAACTCAATTGTTAGTTGAGGAGAAAATACCTGAGTGTTGCAGTTGCCCGAAGTTTAGGAGATTTCAGCCATGTAGCTTTCACTATGTGTTCTGCGCATCACCTGTGAGGTGTGAGGGATGGAACTCTTCAGTCAGGAGCTCCTGGAACCACATATGCTTTTGAAAGTAATGCTTGTAAACTCCATGGTGTACCAAGTAATTTTCATTGGAATCTGCTGTTACTCTCTTTAAGTTGAAGAGAAAGAGGCTCACTAGGACAAGACATATAGCATCTTCAAATAAAAAAGTTATACTCTATATACAACACAATCACGTGCCAACAGAATAGGAGATTATAAAGAGAAAAAAAAAGATGGAGAAATGTTAAAAAAAATTCAAATGTGAGAGACTGGTTAAAAGACATTGCAGGTAAAAAAAACAACATAGGGTTTTATAAATGAATACTTAAGTGATATTTTGAAAATCCAAGTTAAATAATTTCTAATTGTACTCTGAAGAAAATTGTAAATTTTAGAAAAACAAGAAAAACAGCATAAGTAGTTATGTGAAATTTCTCTGATTTTAAAGGATACAGGGCTGGGGGAAAAAAGTGTTCTCATAATGCCAGTCATGATCCCAAAATCGAAATAAAGGAAAAGCTGTTGCCAGCCCTGGATTTATCATGTGATGCTATTTTCTTCACTTTATGTATTTTCACTGACATTTCTTCCAAGATAGTTCTCATGAGAAAAAAAAGCGAGTTAAGTCATCCCCAGAAAAGTGAGTCACAGTGTCTGAGCACACAAGAGTACTATTCCATGGATGAATCGATAGGAGCAGTTCTATTTTGAACATGCCAGATGCTATACATTTTCTGGAATGGGTCAGGATTCCAGGTCTTTAATGAGACTTCCCGCTAAGCTGAACATCTGTTTATAATATATTGTTCACTTGCTAGTATGCATAAGAATGCTAAAGCGATTAGAGCATCTTGATTGCATTTTCAAATAGTGTGCAGACAAAGGGAGATGCTGAATTGGAACACTGTGCAATGATCAGCCCTCAACCAGAATCTACACATGTACCTCCTTTTGTTAACTCCTATTTTTACTTCTCAGTTGTTAATTTCATAAAATAATTATTGCTTCAAGAAAACACTGAGATTTTATGCCCAAAATGAAGATCGAATTAAAAGGTATAGAGAAAGAATTATTTTCCATGTTCAAAACATATCATAATCTTTTGAGCATGTCTAATTCCTTCATCTATTTTTTTCTTTATTTTTCTCTGTATCATACAAATTGTGAAATAATGAATATGTATAGAAATAACTTATAAAACACATGGAATTGACAGTTTATAAAACTGATATTTGGGTTAATCATTCTTCTTTTATATCAGTATATGTCTAATGATTAACCAAATTTTCATTTTTTAAAAAGCAATGATCTTGTATCTCTAAATAGTGCATGAAGATCTCTATATGCTATAGAGGATATACAGTTACTACTAATATGAAAATAATCAAATCCACATATGTTATTTGTAAAGTGAAATTAAATTAACTTCTAAAATATTTCCTTATCTACTCAACCACAGACTCAGAACAGTAAGGGTGCAATTCCTGCCTCAAGCAATTCTTCATGATGTATATTTGATTCACTTAGCCAAGCCTATATACTGACTGGGAAATCCAAAAATCCTGAATAGTCTGTAAGCTTATAGCATTTTAAAATTTTAAGGAAAGATGATTAATGTATGCATAGGAAAAATAACAAGAACAATTGCACCACTTTTGCACTTTTATGCAACATTTGAGTATGGATGTTTATTATTAATTCAGTTCATTTGAAAAACATGAAACGCCAAATACTAAGTGATTGATTTAAATTGTCAATATTTTTTTCCTAACCATGATATTAAGTATAGGCATCGAAATCAATGCTGGGGAAATCTATAGAATATATTTGCCAAAATGATATTGAAGTGAAACTTTACCTTCTCAGATGAGAGTGAGTGTGTGTCCTTAAATAGTTCTGACACACACACACACATAATACATACATACATACATACATATATTATAGTATAATATATATTATACACTATAGATTATAATATAAGATCATTCAAGGAAAATGTGATTTTGTAATAAACTGCCGCTCTACATTTGAACATTCAACAGAGTTCAGTAGATTATTCCACTGACCCATGTGTGACATGAAAACCATCTGGAAGAAGTCCAATATTAAAATATTTATTTTGTACACCATACATAATCTATTTATTATGATTATGATTACATGAAAAAAAGTAACAGCATACAAATTTTATACAAGTTAATAAATTTTTGTATGTACATGTGTATGTGAGAGAGAGTGTGTGTATGTGTGTGTTTATTTGTATACATGTTCACAGATACACTTGCATTTGATATCATTTCCTCATATTTCCAAAACCAGGAAAATGAGCAGAAACCAAGAGAAAAAACTGATATTAATATAATAATTTTCACCCAGATAATTTATCACCCATGATAAAAACTTGACTTTTATCATGATAAAATGCAAGTATAGTCAAATTTATTTACATATATATTTCTTCTATTTAATTATCACTGTGAAATTATTATTGTTTAATTCATAGATGTTGCTCTTTTACCAAAAAATTTTATCTATGTTTCTGAACTTGTTTTTATGATCATTCCAAAAAGTGAAATTAAAGACCAGTCTTTTAATGATAATTGGAGTTCGACTTGTATAATTATTTATAACTTTCTATGAAAGTTTAAAGAGATAGCAACAGATAAAATTATTTCTATTTTTAGTATAGATTGGCATATCCAAAGTTCTTATATTGTCTTCAATAAGCATTTACTTTTATGCTGTTTAAAGTAAGCTTGATTCACATATTTTCTGAGTGGGTATTTTTAGTTTTAGATTTATCTTTGAACAGAATTAAAATTAAATAATTTAGTATAAAAATGATGCTGAAAGAACTCAGTTTTGTGAAATAACTCACAACTCCTCTTTCTGGGAGACACACATATCAGAGCAGAGCAAAATATAAATAATTGTAAGATATTCATCAGTATGGCTATAGGATAGGGTCATTTCAGATTCCCTCTGCTCAGTTGCTCAAGGTACTAGCTGAGGACATCTCCCTGGACACCTGTGAGCCCCTCTAGAGTCAAGTCTCTTGCCAACCCTAAGATGGATCCCTTAATTAAGATATATATTTCTCTGCTCCCATGTCCACCCTTCCTTTATCCCAACCATCCCATTCCCCCAAGCTCACCCCAATCTCCCCTTCTCACCTTTCTCACCCCATTTCCCCTTAGCCCCATGCCACCTCACCCCAAGTTCCCAGGTGTGCCTTTGGGTTTACCTTCTTATTTAGCTTCTCTAGGATCACAAATTATATTCTCAATGTCCTTTATTTATGGCTAAAAACCAATTATGAGTGAGTACATCCCATGTTCATCTTTTTGATGAATATCTTACATATCACCTTAGAACCTTCATCTGGCGATGGATCGAGATAGAGACAGAGACCGAAATTGGAGCACCGGACTAAGCTCTTAAGATCCAAATGAGGAGCAGAAAGAGTGAGAACATGAGCAAGGAAGTCAGGTCCACGAGGGGAGCACCCACCCGCTGTGACAGTGGAACTGATCTATTTGGGAGCTCATCAAGGCCAGCAAGACTGGGACTGAATAAGCATGGGATGAAACCAGACTCCCTGAACATTGCGGACAATGAAGGCTGATGAGAAGCCAAGGACAATGGCACTAGGTTTCAATTCTAATACATGAACTGGCTGTGTGGGAGCCTAGCCCGTTTGGATGCTCACCTTCCTGGTCCTAGATAGAAGTGGGAGGACCTTGGACTTCCCGCAGGGCAGGGAACCTGGACTGCTCTTCATTCTCGGGAGGGAGGGGGAATGGAGTGGGGGGAGGGGGAAGGGGTAGAGGAGTGGGGGAGGGGGACATGTGTGGGAGGAGGGGGAGGGAAATGGGAAATGGGGAGGAGGCGGTAATTTTTCAATAAATAAAAAAAAAAACTATAAATAATTGTATTGTCCCATGACTGTGCTTATGTTGTGAAGAAATAAAGAATGGAAAACAGACCAGAAATGTGGGAACAAAGATATCTGCCTGACTCTGATAGTAAATAAATTGATTATATACAGCAGAAATTTAAGTTTATGTTTATGAAGAGTTTATGGGTGAAATTTATCATGACATTGTAGACCTCCTCTCTGTGAAACCACTCCACAGCTTCTGTTTTCATAGTAGTCATGAAAATGCTAACCTTGAGAATCTTTTATCAAAATCTCCTATTATTATAATATTTTACTAATTAGTAGAATACCGTTTTTATGGAAGAAATAATGATTTTTATGCAACTTGCTTTTACTTGAAACTCTTTTATAGCTTCTATATTGTTCCTGTAATAGAGAAAATGCCTGAAGCAATAATTATATAATTATACATATAATACAATATGTATTATATATACATTATATACACATTTCTTTATATATAATATAAAGGAATAGCATAATTTTATAAAAGATATGTTTTGATATTTTGAAATTAATTTTAATGAAGCAAGTTGCGTATTGTTAATATAAGTGCAGATGGATTATAAATGATGTTTTTCAAATAAAATTGTTGCTGCCTCTGATAGAAAAACTCAAAAGAATTATGACATGAAAATTCTACTGATTTTGTAAGAACATTCCTCCCACTGAGATACTAAGTTTAAAGTTCCTAAATATCCAATTAGGGACCTAAAGAGAGAGAGAGAGAAATGAAAACCTGGCCAAATGATGACTAATTAGAATGACAGGCGTTCCTCTGACTCATGGGGCAGTCACAGTACCTCAGTAGTAAAAATAGTGTCTCATTAGTCGTTTAAACATTATTCCCAGGTTTCCGTGAAATTGATATTTAATCACTTTCCCAGTGTACGGCAGACACTTATTGCACAGAAAAGACATGGGGACTGAAAAGTTGATAAAATTTCTGTCAATCTCCTCTCAATTTGAAGAATGATACATTATAATGGGCCACTAGTGGCAGAGAGACGCTGTACAGGAACCTGTAATTAACTTCGCTTTCTCTGTTATTGATGGCATATGTTGAACTCTGTGATTAGATGGTGCATCTTGGGGGATGTGCCCTGAGGAACACACTGTGCAATATTCAAATCCACATCAAAATCATGTCTATAGATGTGTTCACAATACTCGATGTTGCTTTTTGATAATTTGGGACTACTTTAAATTATTTGGGAACTGTGCTTATTACTCAGAATTAAACATTTAGAAAGGATTAATGACTAAAGAAAGAAAATTTGTACCTAAATTTTCAGGGAAATTTGCACAGAACAAACATTGCCTGAAATTATACAGAACAATAATTTCTTTCCAAGTCAATCAGGATGTTTAATATCTGAGTTATACTTGTGAATTGCTGTTATTCTTTTGGAAGTATTGTGTAGTATTCAATGTCATCTATGATTAAACAAAGGAAAATAAGGCTTTCAGAACTACCGAAATTTGTCATTAAGTCTTAAATTCTGACTTCAAGCATACATTTTCAGCTCAGCAGCCACTCTTCTGTCTCCAAAACAACAAGGAAAGCTTTCAACATTTCAATGAAGAGAATAGAAAATGCTGAGCACACCGAACATTTTTTAGCATATTATTCACTAAACAGTCTTCATTTCATAAAAATAACATAAAACATCTCGCTGTTGGCCACTCTCCAAAGTGGTAAGTTGTTCATTTCTGTTTTTATTTTCTATCCCAATAAAACGACTCTGTATTTCCAAAGTGCAATAGTATTGAAATATTTGTCACAGTTTCTGTTGCCAAGTTTATCTGCAATAATTCTCTACTTCCAGACATTCCAGGAAAGCACATTTTACCAAGACAGAGGGCAGCCCTGCAGACATCCCCTACAAAGGGGAAGGGAGTCTTGTCCTTATGGGGCTTGTATAGTAATGGGCAAAGTTAAGGAAACGACTATGTCTATACAGTGAGTAGTTTTTGGCACGCAGAACAGTTGCCTCAGGATTCTTGGAAAACAACTTTCATCGGAGGTGGAAAGGGAGAGGGATGCATAAATATTTTAACTTAAGCTTCCCTAAAGTGTTTGTCTGTGGTCTACCACATCACTTGTTTCTTACTGCAGTATCCCAAATAAAACTGGAGTATTCTCACATTAAAATTTAATCTAATAAAGTAAAACATTTTAGTATGTATTTGCCTCATTGAGAAAAGAAATGATTTTGGTTTTAAGTCTTTCAAAAAATTATACTTGTGTTGGACACCTCCGAAAAGTATTTTTGATTTAGTGTTCTTAATGTGTTCAAATTTAAAAGAAAAACTAAGACACTCAGGACAAGAGCTCAGCATTGTGCAAATCTTCTTGTGTAGTTCTACAGCCTTTACGAATCATGCTGAAAGCAAGACCTAAATTTTACAATGTGCATTCTAATTTTCTAGGAAGTGAGAACCCTCTAAAGACCACAAAAGGGCCAAATTATCTAAAATATTAGAGGCTTATTATATTTCTACTAAATTATCAATTTTGTAAAACAATTAAACAGGGAAAGGCAATTAGTGTAAAAGTGGTCTTTAGAGTATAATCATTAGTTAGAAGCTCATTTGATAAGGTTAGGTCCAAATCTAATAAGTGAAAGCCCCAGCAGAACTGTAATAGAGTCCTGGCGGCAGTTTTTAACACTATCCATCTCCAAATAGAAACCACCAGAAATTAAGGAAATTAAAAAAGAAGCTATTTTTGCCACAATCAACAGAATCTCTCTAGAGCTATGTCAAGTGTGAATTGAGGTAGTTTCTTAATTATGATCGCTAGAAATGTATTTGTACTATGAATCAACATTATGATTAAGTTTCAGTTCCTTACAAAGTGTACCAAGGGCTTCAGACTGAAGAACTGTAAAGAAAACAGACAAAATTAACAAAGCAAATGCTCAGAAAAAAATGAAGCATAATAACTCCTAACCTATTGCTCTGTTAGATCAAGAGAAAAGGATGCACATGGCCACAGGAATTGGATCTGATCTTCCTAGTTATCTTAATGTAATATTGATAATAAAGTCACTATTCGCTTCTATTCTAAATGTTTTCACTTCAGTTATGTGTGTTCCACTTAGTTATTATGTGAATAGATATGAATAAAAATGTCACATTACAGATAAAAGCTATCAAGCAGTCTGTTCACTAAGTGCTACCTTGTGAGCTCTGTCCATTGAATAATAAAGTGAGCAGATAATTGGCAATATCAGCTCATCTACTGAACAGTACATCCATAGTCCCAGTCAGGCAGATTAGTCATCAGGAAACAGTTGGTAATGGCAACATTTCCTAGAGCACCCCACACATAAATGCCTCCAAATCGGTTGCATAAGCATCACTCGTGGTTATTTGCTTTTTAATATTCTTTTCAATCCTATGGACTTTAATGCATGCAAATCATATGACTCACTTTTATAAGCTGGTACAAATGAGCAATAGTCTTTCATGCGTCCATTTCGAAATAGTCATTATTGTTATTTTTACATTTTTTGTGTAAATATTTAATTCTTATCAGCAAGAGTGCTCCGAACATAAATGTTATTAATATTATTGCATAAGCAATCATGCTCATTCCCTTAGGTAATTAAAAAACAGAAAATTTGCATTTGTTTGTACAAATTAATAATGTGAAAGACGATGCGCAGGTTAAAGGTTAGCATGGAAAAATTGGACATGGTGCATGAACACAAAATGAATTATTGCATGGCTTTGTAATTTTATTACTACCACTTAGTTAATTATGCTGTATATCAATCTAATAATTAAAGAAGCAGACTCCTACTTTAGTGTCTTATTCAAAGAACCATAACTTACTCCACGCACTTAGAGCTGTGATCAGTGATAAATCTCACAGCGTGATAAAAAAGCCAAATGCCATTTGTTTCACTCCTTGAGAGCTACACACACACACACACACACATATACACACCCCACACCTTCATTCTTCTACATACTGTTAATTAAACCAGGTCATGGGTCAGCTCTTATTCAGTGGGAAGCAATTGTTCACGTACATGAATAATAGGAGACTCTGAAGAAAGATGCTTTTTTTTTTCAGAAAAAAAAAAAAAAACGTTGTACTCAATTGCCCAAAGAATAAACAAATATGCTTATTTAAGTTAGTGTAAATTTCACTTTATCTTAACAAATCAAATTCTGAAAGCTTCCCTAAAAACTTGTTATCCAGGCAGCTAAACCTTGGTGTCTATTGTTTATACAGTGGAAAGCCCTATGACACGTTTATCTGTGCTTCACCTATATAACATGTAAACCAACTCATTAAAATCGAGTTTTTGATATTTGTTTCCTTTTGATAAGTTCAACTGGCAATAGAAAGTCAATGTGAAGGCTGGGATGTAGCTCACAAAGGCACACACATATATACACAATCAAAATCATAATAAATCAAAGTAGAAAACCAATATGCTCACAGGAAATCAGACAGGTGCAGAAAATGTGGGAATGTCTGCTTCTTTTCTTAGACTACAAGCCCACTATTAACCATGGCTGTCATTTTATTTTTCTCTGATATTTGATGTTTTCTGGTTCCATCAAAAGCAACTGAAATAAGCACTTTCTTAAGAACATAATTTTTGTTGGTGAGATGACTCAGTAGGTGGCCAGCGTGAGCACCTTTGATCTCTAGCACTCACTGGTGGTAAGAGAGAACCTACTACAGAGAGTTGTCCGTTGACCTCCGGGACATACCATGGCATTCACATGCATATGTACACATGGAAAATTAAAAAAAATAAGGAGTGAATGAATAAACACATAAATAATTTGTGAAATAAAAATATAATTCCTCAGAATTTAAAAAGAAGAAAGTCATAATCGGGCAAATCCCTCCACTCACAGCTGAGGGGACCCTGCAGAAGAAGAGGTGGAAAGCATCTAAGAGCTAGAGGTGATAAAGGACAGCAGGAAGACAAGGCCCTCTAAAGCCAGTGAGCAATACTCATGTGAACGTAACTGAAGCAGCTAGACCAGGGCTGACACGGGTCTGCACCAGTTCATCTGTGTTTATAGTATAGCTTTCAGTTTAGTGTTTTCATGGGAGTTCTGGGTGTGTGAATGAGTTGGCCTCTAATTCCAATGCCTTAGGTTCTTCTCCTTCTGTTGCTTTGCCTTGCCTAATTTTGATGTAAGGTTTCTGTTTATCTTTATATTTTATTTTGGTATATTTGGTTGTTACCTCTTAGATGCCTAACGTTTCTAATGAGAGACAAAAAGTGAGAGGATCTGGGTGGGAGAAGAGGTTGGGAGGAATTGGGAGGACTAGAAGGAGAGGAAACAGTTTTTGAGATATGAGAAATTAATCTATTTTCAATAAGATGGAGAATGAACAGAAAATAAGAATCAAATGTAATACATTTTCCAGTGTCTGATTGACTTTGAAATTAACACTTAAATAGTATCTGAACATGCAAACTCACAGAGATTTTGGCAACATGCACAGGATATGCATATTTCAAGCCAGTCCAGTTGGGATTTCAGTGCCAAGAGGAGGAGTGGACAAAAGATCCCATTGCTAACTTAGAGGCTACTTGCATTTTATTATTATCCCCTGCTGGTGGGTGGATAACAAATTTTCTCCAAAGGAATGTCACTGAGTATTTCAACTATGCTCAGGCAGTCCAACATAAAGTGAACCCCCATGGTTTTTGTGTACTTTTTCAATGTTTTTGGAGGAGAGGGGTAGTGGTTGGTGGTGGGATTTTGCCCTGTTTGGATTTGTTCCTTTGTTGGTTTTCAGAGGGGGGGTTAAGGAGGGCAGGAAGGATGGGCAGGAAGGATGGAGGGAAGGATGAAGGATGAAGGAAGGAAGGAAAGCAGTCAGAAGTTGGATGAGTAGGGAGGTGAAGAGGACCTGGGAGGAACTGGGAAGGGGAAAACATTTTCAAAATATACTGCATAAAAAACTAAATACAAATTTTGCTCTGATAAAAATAGCTGATTTTTTTTTATTTGTTGTCTGTATGAGGTTGTATATGTGTAGGGAGCGTGTGGGAATGAGTGCTTGTGCCTGTGTGTGTGTGGTTTAGCAGACGTCAGTCTCCTGTCATTTCTCAGGAACAGTCCTCCTTCCTTTTCTTTCATTGAAACAAGATTTTTCACATCCTGGAACTCTCTATGTAGATTCCACTGTGTGGCCACTTAGCTTCAGGGGTTACCCTGTCCTCACCTCCCCAGAGTTTGAGCTACAAGTATCCACCATCATGTTGTTCTTTTTCTGCTTTTAGCAAATTGACACATGTTCTCATGATTGCATGGCAAGCCTTTTACCAATTGAGCTTTATCCACAGCCCCAGTATTGAATTTAAATGACTCATAATACTGTTTTCTAAGTCATATATATATATATATGTATGTGTGTATACATACATATATATATATATGATTTCCAATTAAGTAAAATAGAATTTTAAAAAATCCTTTATGTCACATGCTAATGTCTGAACTATGACCCACTGCAAATATCTCATTACTAATGTTACAATTATTCTCAAACACTCAAATAGAATAGGAATCTCATCTAATAAAGCAGTATTTAATACATTGCCCCACAGATATCCAGCATGTAGTAGGGGAACTGAACATTAAAATGTAATTCTTATGTTGGATTCAGTGTCAAATGCCTAGAACCTCAGCGCTCAGGAAGTTGAGCCAGGAGATCACTTGAGCCAGAAACATGCAAGCAACTTAAGATTTGAAAAATAGGAAACCCAAAATTTTACCAACTAAAATGTTTTTAGCCTCATAGTAACTTGGAATGTAAAATCAATATTTTGGGTACATGATTAAAGCAATTCATAGTTATTATCAAATATTAAAAGTATTTCATCAAGGTAAAACACCAAAAGGCAGCATGGGTGTATGACTGAAAACAGTGACGCAAGAGTTATGAAGGTTCATCACTGAAACAGAGCTAGTATCTAAGAATGTGGAAACGACTGGGAGACTGCACGAGCAAACAGAAGATATGGCCAAGTTCACGCTCAGAGCTGTCACAGGCATCTTTCAGTCGATAAATCAAATTCTTTCTTCCCTCCTCTAAGTAAGAACATTGCTCACTCCAAGACGTGATCTCTTAGACTTATTTGGTTTGAAAGTATCTCTTCTGTCACACCATGTAAACTAGAGGACTCGGTGAATGCTGCTTCGTCAAAATTACCATTCCATGAAAGCAAAGGACAGGCCAGTCTTTCTCTGTTCTGGGACCTTGAGCTTGTACTACAGCAATATGAGTTGAGATGCTTTTACTCCTGAAAGTGAAGACAATTTTGATGATGGTGAAAACATAAATTAGTAATGTTTTTTTAAGACATCAAAGTTTGTTAAAAATAAACCCAGGTATTTAGTCATTTTTTAGAGAAATAACTGTTTCATTATAGTAATCCCATACAAAAAGAAAATTCATGTTGTCTTCCTTTGTTAGTACTTTTTAAACCTATCCCTTGCTCTCTCTTTCCCTTAGCAAATCCCAGAAATCTTTGCGCTGTCTTTTACCCTTCGATTTCATACCTGAAAATGCAATGGCTTTCTTTGTGAGAGAGACTTACTTCACAAATACGTTTAGCAACTTCATAACAATGAAGCAATTCATCTTTATGATTCAGAAAAAAATCCCTCATGTATCATGCTGCCTTTTCTTTATCCATTCTTTCATTAATGGACACCTAAGCAATTTTGCTACTTGGTTACTAAGAGACTGCTCTAAAAAACATGGCTGTACATGTATCTCTGTGGTAACCTATTTGATTTTTTAAGTACATTTACAGAAGTGCTATAGCTGGATTATATGGAGATCCGTGCCTTAATATTTTTAGAAACTTCCCACCAGTAATTATTAAAAACTCCTTTCTCCAGATCCTCTTCGGCATGTTTTGTTCCTCATTTCTTTAAAACAAAATTGCTGTTCTGACTGCAATCAGGTTGCTTCTCAATGTAAGTTTAACTTGCATTTCCTTAACAGCTCTGAATGATGAGCTTTTGTGCCTGCTTATATTTCTTCAGTTAAATTTCAATCCCCAATTCTTAGTTGGATTATTTGGTCTTTATTTTTTTCAAAGTTTGAAATAGTTCTCTATCTTAGGTTCTACTTTCCTATCAAATGATTGTCTGACAAAGACTTCATTTCACTCTGTATACTGTCCCTACTTTTGTTTCTTTTGCTCCACACTTTTAAAGGTTGAAATAATAGCATTTGTCAATTCTTTCTCTTGAAAGTTCATACACCTACATATTAAAGTATTTTCCCCATGCTTCCTGATAATATATCCAGAGTTTCACATCTTACATCGAGATCTTGATTTTTAGTTAATTTTTATAAAAGGTAAAAATAGGAATCTAATTTAAATCTTCTATAAATGGATACCAAATTACTCAGCTTCGCTTTGAAACATGCTGTTCTTAATGTTTGCTTTTAAGTAACATTTGCCAAGAATCAAATGGCCGTAGCTTCCTGTGTTTACATTTGAATATCTTCTATTCTGTTGGTTTATATAACTGCTTTTGGATCATGCATTCTAACAGTGTATCCATAAATATGTCTTCAGTATTTAAATTGTGAAAATTTAGAGAATCAAAATTTAGTGGTAATGAAATTCATATATCCTACCTGTTCAAGACTCAGAGACAGAGACCTCATCATCTGTTAGCTGCTAACCTAGGGAAAGAAAGAATAAAAAAGGTCATTGGCAAAACTTAACATTAATTTTATTTTTCCTTTTTTATTTATTTTATTTTTAATTTTAATTATTATTATTATTAAAAATTTCCCCTTCCTCCCCTCCTCCCATTTCCCTCCCCCCATTACCACTCCCCCTCCCCCTCCCTGTCCAGTCCAAAGAGCAGCAGTCCAAGGTCTTCCCCACTCCATCCATGTCTAAGAAGGTGAGAATCCAAACAGACTAGGCTCCCACAAAGCCAGTATATGCAGTAGGAACAAAACCCAGTGCCATTGTCCTTGGCTTCTCAGTCAGCTCTCATTGTTTGCCACGTTCGGAGAGTCCGGTTTGATCACATGCTCCAACATTAATTTTAAAAGGGAAGATCTTACAAAGCAGGATGAATACATAAAAGATGACAGTAGCAAAGACAGGAGTCAAAAGAGATGTAGTAAACACTAGGAGGTCTGAAAGTTATTAGTATCTTGCACTTGTTAAACACATATCATGTTTCTAGTATATCATTTATGTAAGCTACCAAGTTATAAAAAATTTACAGCACACCATGACTGACGATGCTTTCACACACACGCACACACACACACACACACAGACACAAACACACACATATACAAACTAAATAACAAGGAGGAAGAGACAAGAAGAAGGAAACCCTGAGGAAATGGAAGGTCAGATGAATTCTAAAAAAAAAAAATAATAAAAAATAAAAGTAGTATGAGAGAACATCACTCATTAAGGAATCTGAATTATCTGAGTAACTAGAGCATGGTCAAAATGTACTGAGAAGCAACACTGACTTAATAGGGAATCTCAGGGATATTAGCAACTAATGAGAGGAGAGGTTGTATTAAAGCATAATGGGACAGAAAAAACTTAAATGGGATAAGGGAGGGGTAGATGAGAGAAGGCTGGGCAGGACGAGTGACACTAAACACATTTCCCATGAATGACATGCGAACAAACTACGGTAGAAATGCCATAAAATAGACATATTCGAAAATATAAAAAGAGTTTAAATAGAGCTAACATATAACCAAGTGACAATACACCTACAAAGGCACAGATTATCGTGAAAATTCCAGTGCCATCGGGAATGATTAGCCAGTGTTGCCTCAGAGATCCATAAGCACATGTGGGATTTCAGATGCTGTAAGTTGTCCTCTAGTACCTGACATTAATATCCCACTGCTTAAGATATCATACATTTGACTCATAGAGCATGGAGAAATCAGGTTGGTACTGACCTGGAAGTGTCAACTCGACAGGGCAGCTTTCATGGTGCTGGAAAGTACTGTGCCTAGTATCAAATGAGAAAAGTAATCTCCAGTCTCACCCAGTTGTGTACACTGTAAGATAAAATAACAACTGCATAGTAAACTATGCCCACTATTATTAGAGTGGTATGACCATCATGGGAGTAAGCAGACACTCTATGCTTGGTTTTAAGACATGGTTCAAATATGAATGTCATACCTGGAACCATTATCAGGGCCAAGGGCATGTAGCTAGACAGATCACAGGTGCCTGGGGCAAATCTATCACTTTTACTTTCCTAAAAAAAGGTGTAGCTTTTGAGCTAACTCCTAATGATCTCACTTAAACTCATAGATTTGCAAACATCTCAACTATAATTAGAGAAACGTCTTTTTACAATAGATGGCAATTGACAGAGATCCACAACTAGTCAGTGTTCAGAAAATGAGAAACTATTAAATGTTTGATACTAAGTGGGGCATCTTTATCATGCCTCTTCTCATAGGGCCATTGCAGAAAAGAAAAGCAAAAAGATTTTAAAAGTAAGAGGCAGTAATGAATACAAGGAACGGGTGCTTTCTGGGTGTAGTATGGAGGTTACAAATAAGAACTCACTCCATCTGAGAAGAATGAAAAAGAACCATACAAAGTCAAGCCAGACAAAATCCCTGCATGAAGAGGGAATATGAGCATGGAACTCCATCACTAGTTAAAGGGCTTTTGACAACTGATAGCTGTTGGGAGAGGGAGAGAGTTAATATTCTTAAAAATATAGCCCTTGGTAGATTGATCACACGTAAGTAAAGGCCACACGTCCAGGCACATGAGCAACACAAACATCACTTGATAATTTTTGTTTGAGGGGTTGTTTCTCTGTTTTTACAGAACACAAAGTTGGGTGAGTAGGGAAGGCAAATGGATCTGGAGAAAATTTATGGGAGATGAATATGATCAAACTACATTGTATGATATTCCCAAAGAACTAATACAAAATAGAGGGAAAGTGTACATAAAGCAGGAAAGAGAGGTATTGGGAGTGGGACCAGAGGAATGGGACGTAAAATTTGAATTGTCTAAAACCAAAATGCATTGTACATGAAGGGTCCAAGCATAAGAATATAAAATTGTAGATTTTCAAAATAAAAATGTAGAAATAAAAAAAAATACATAAAGTTGTAAGTCTAGGAGAATGAGAACAGACTGACAGCAGCTTTTTTAGTAGTTTGAAGATTAACTATTAACAGTGGGTTATTCCACTTTACAAGGCCAAAGCATCTTTCTTCAAACTGAGAACTAGCCTACAGATATGAGCTGAGTCAACTTTTAGAACATAGATATATGACCTCTGGGTTATGCATTATCCCTGTTATGTGAAATTGGCAGCTGGTGTGGGAGGTCCGTCTGTCTATGTGTTGTCTTTATTGGCTAAAGAATTAAGAAACTGGCTTTGCCTGTAGTAAGGGAAAAGAAAGGCAGAGTCAGAGAGAAGCCTTGGAGCCACTGGAGACAGATGCTGAGAACTGTACCCGGTAAGCCAGAGCCATGTGGTTATATACAGATTAATAGAAATTGGCTAAATTTATATAAGAGATGGCCAATAAGAACCTAAAGCTAATGGGCCAAGCAGTAGTTTGATTAATACAGTTTCTGTGTGATTATTTTGGGTCTAAGCCAGGTGGGTGGCTGGGAACCAACAAGCGCCCTCCCCACAAAAGATAGAATCAAAGGGGAGATCACAGGGCTTCAGTAAACACTACCTGGAAATACCAAGGAAGACAACAGATTAAGTACAAACACTAGTTTAACTGAAAAACTGTTGATGGGATTGTAAAGTAAGGCAATGTGTACCCGAGTTTTACCTTGAGATTGTAAAAATTCCTTTGTTCAGATATAATTCTTAATGTCCCTACTCTAAAAAGGTGGGTTCAGAAACTGGCCTATGCCACAGCTTAACAAAATCCATTTCTGGCTGTGGTCTTAGCTAGCTGATAAGCTTTTTGTGCCCCATGGAGCTTTTTTTAAATTTTATTTATTTTATTTTTTCCTGGATTCTGGTTTCTGGAGTAAAGTTTGCTTCTGGTTTATTATACATTGGTGGTCTGTCCCCATCTTTGTGTGACAAACTTATGTGACCCAGCACATACGTTTGAAATTATCAGCATGTGAAAAAGATTTTAAATAACAAGTAAACAGTTAGTACACACACACACACATACACACACACTCACACATACAGACCTTGGTGTCATGATATCTAATAGATACAGAAATGGCAGTGAGAGAAGACACATTGATTAAAGAAGCATATGAATGAATAACAAAACAAAAGATTTGTCTTAAAGGTAGAGAGTGGAAAGGAAGAAAGGAAAAAAAATGAATCTGTATGAGAAGAGACAGTATTAAGAGGAGAAGGAAAGAGAGTGATAAAGAGAAGACAGAAAAGAAAAAGGTAAGAAATCAGTTTGTGTGTGTGTGTGTTTCAAAGCCCAGGCAAAGAAGAGTGAGTATAAGGAACAAAGACAAAGAAATCAAAAATGGGCTTTTTGTAATGGCAGTGTCTTATTCCAGAACACATCGTGGGAGATCAGTTTCTATCAGTATCAACAGGAAAAGAAGAAGGCCAAGGAGCCCTAGGAAGTACCCATATCAACATCTGCTTAGCAAACTCCCAGCCTCAGGCTGCTCCCATCCTAAAGAGATAAAGCTCTCATACTTACTTTTCCTCAGCTTGGTTTTCTGTTTTCTCCAGATCTTCATGCCTTGTCCATGCCAGGAAATTACCTTAGACATTCCAGAGAGTACCAATAGCACCACTTTATCGAGAATGGTTAATCATGTAATGATTAATTTTCCCTGAAAACAAATAATTAACCCTTACACTTAATCTCCATTTTCAACAAATGCCCTCAAAAAGATTAATCTGAATGAGTATTCTAACATATCCTCATCACAACCTCCCAATAATCTCTGAGTTTGGTAGAGCGTTCGTAGACAGCTGTTTCTAAGGGAGTAATTCTACATTCTTTCCTAGAGCTTCCCAGTAGATTATGTACACTGTAGAGCATTTACTTTATACAACCAAACGCAATAATATAATTTTGTATGAACAAAACTTTCAATCAAAAGTCATAATTTTAAAAGGGATATTATTGCGGATATGTCATCATGACTTATGCATAATAAACTCAAAATCTGGATCTTTGATATTTGTATTAGGGCAATACAGCCCCTTAGCATATACACAAAAGATATTCTTTGAAAACTTATTGCTTTCATTTAAGCTCTATCATGTTTTAATGTATTATCTTACATTATTTAAAAATACCCATAAATATATCTTGTTAATTACTAATTTGAATAATTTGTAACCTGAGTCAGTGGTTCTCAACTTTCCTAATGCTGCAACCCTTCAATACAGTTTTATATGCTGTAATGAGCCGCAGCCATAAAATTATTTCATTGCTACTTCATAACTGTAATTTTACTGCTGTTATGAATCAAATTGTAAACTTATGATATGCAAGATTTGTGACTCCTGTGAGAGGGTCATTCAACTCCCAAAAGCGTCATGACTCATGGTTGGATAAATGCTGGTCTAAGAGAATCACCAGCATCAATCTTGCTGAGTATGAGTTATAGCTACCAGTCACCAGTCTAAGATCTCTGTTTACATTCCCCAACTTTAACCCTTCCTGAACTCCAGTGAAGGAAACCTTATTGTCATCCTCTGTTCATAGAGTAACAAGATGATGCTCCAGATAAGCTGCACTTAAGGATTCACAGTTATGAAGTAAAATAAATATTCAAACACAGCCTCACCTGTGGAAAGTCTGAACTCAATTGGCATTGACATTAAAATCTCAAATGACAATGTTAACAGATTTCTTACTGCCCTACCCAGAATTTCCAGATAAAGACAAATTTTAGTTAAAACATGTACAGATATAAAATTAGATCCTTATAACCTCTATAGAATTACTGATATGTATGATTGACAGACTTTGATATTCAAGGCCACTGAGTGGTTAGATCTCTGAACTTTATAGTTAACTTGTTCTCTCCTAAGGAAACAAACTACACTTTATAACTCTCTTTTGCTTCCATGTTCCCTTGGCAAAACATTAATAGGTCTGTCACTTTCTACCTGATTGGTAATCTTCAAGTTGTTTAAATGTGCTACTAACAAAACTAAAGAATTCACAGAAGAACAGAGGAGTATATTAAATAAAAAAATCAAAAAATATTTCTGAAAAATGGTAAGTCCTGTGTTTGTTCCATATAATTATAACTAATGCTCACAATCCAGTACCACAGGATGACTTCACCTCACCTCACTATGCTAACTCTTTCTTGTCAACCTTTTTTCTCTTGATTCCATGACCTACTGTCCCTTATCCTCAGACATACAAGAAAGATTTGCAATGATGTAATGAAATTGTTTATACATCTAGATTTTAAAATTAGAAACTACTTTTTTGGTGTCATATGAAAGTAATAGGGGCTAATAATGTGAAAATACACTGAGAAGATTTAAATTCTGCTCTAGTCTAAATTTATTCCTTTAATTTTAACACTTACTTTTGGACTGACATAGTAGTTCATCTTGGCTCTAAACTTAAATATAATCAAGGAAACCTAAGCAGCTGGCACACCTGTAAAGAATTTTAATTGGATCATTTGAGGTGGGAAAATTCACCCCAAAACTGGGCCATATCTTCTAGTGGCTGCCCACATGAAAAAAAAAAAAAAAAAAAAAAAAACAGAGAAGGAATCTTCTGTTCTTGTCTGCCTGTTCTCATTCTCACTAGCAAGTTCATCTACCCTGTTGTTGAAACATTCCTTTTCTGATATTAGAACCTACTTCTTTGTGATTCCAACATTGACCAAACACCACCAGCTCCCTAGGAATCCTCCATGACTCCAGCACCAAATTGGGGATGCTGAGACATCTAGCCTCATAGACTAAATAGCTACAAGATTCTTGGAGACAGCCATTGTTAGACTAGCCAGACCACAGCATGTAAACTACGCTAGTAAATTCATTCATTTCAGCAACCCTTTTGTTCTTTAGAAAACCTGAGTAATACAGCGTAGTAAACACTTGAACACAAATACATTCTAAGATTACTTGATCAAATAATTTAAAATATTTTAATGACTAATTTCTTTGTTACATTTGTTACCATGCTCCATTATATCTTAAACCCAAGGTTGTACCCAAGGAATATAATATTTGAGAAACCTGGCAATAATTATTTTGTTATAATTTTTACTATTGCAGTTGCATATAAACATTACTTCATTTTCATATTTGTACATTCCAATTGTTCTTTACATTTATACATATTTACTTTTCAAAGGAAAACATTAATGAGTCACAGAAGGAGATGACTTGACTGGCAAGCTGAGAAATCACATTTATCTCTGTGCCGGAAGTAGAGTGTGGAGACAGCAAGTGGGACCGGGTTATAAGCTCTCAACTGCTGTTCCAGTAATACACTTGCTAACAAGTCTTCGTGTCTTAAAACTTCCATAACATCTCAGACAGTGCCACCAACTGGAAAGGAGAGCTCAAAGAGGTGAGCCTAAGAAGCCATTTGTCGCCCAAGTTATACTGTGGTATAAATAAAACCTCAATGCCCATTCCCAGTGATTCACTTCCTCCTGATGCAGCACACCCTAAAGGTTGCACAACCTTTTCAAGCAGTGCCACAGTTAAAGAGAAAGTTTTCGAAGCCTGTGGGAACATTTTATATTCAAACTATAATCCTAAACCCCACCATGTGTTTATGGCTGTATTGGGGCACAAATTCATTCAAACTTTAAAAATCGCTACAATCTTTACTGCAGCACGTATAATAAAAACACAGAGACAGAAGCTGAATATCCAAGCTGAAGATCAAAAGAGCAAAACAGTTAACTCAATAGAGTAGTATTATCTCTACCAAGACTGGGTGACTGCAAACTGAGCCATGAGACTTTGTCTTCTCCCATTTTTAATCCCCCTTTAGTGCTGGGATTAAAGATGTGTGAGTCCCTAGTACTGGGATTAAAGGTGTGAGTCACACCCATCCAAATCTGTTTTTGCATTGATTTTGTGTAAACCAGGGTGGCCTTGAACTAACAGAGATCCAGAAGCAAAATGCAGATAATTCTAGATTCGTTCCATTGCCATTTGAGGTGCAGTTTGGTCTCTTTATACCACAGCTATACTGCACTCATTATGCCTGTAAGACGAGTCTGCAAGTTTACACTGTGGAAATGATTTTGAGCAGAGAAATTCTTTAGTTGCATCATTGATCCAGACTCCATCTGTTCAAATAAATTTACATTTTTACTAGCAGGAGCCTTTGATAGGTATTTGGATTCCGTCCACCTTTCTTATTGTCCAAGTGCAGAATGAGTTTACCTTTAACAAGTTTGACCTTCTTATAGCAGCCACCTGATCTGCAACATGCAACTTACTTAGGTTTTCTTCTTTGCAAATTGTGTGATTTTGTACCATTTTGACAGACTTGTTCTTTTCTTGTAGATGTAGATGTATGGTGAGCAGTTACCATGCCACAGCCAGAATGTTCTTAAACCTTGTCATTTCCTCCAACACACACAACATTCTATCGTTTTTAAATTTCCTCACTCAAGTTCTCTCAACAGGGGAAGAAAGAAACAGATTCTTTGCCTGGATATTGTAGGAATATTCACTAACAAAGCTTTTAGGACATTGTTTGTCCCTCCACTGAGATCTTATATTCTTGGCCTCTGTTGCCCTAGTTTATCTTAGCTTTATGGTCATCCAAACTTTATGAGTGCACCTCTCTTAGATTTCCTTACATCACTCTGTGACATCTCTACTCCAAAAATTCTAAGCTCTTCTACTTTTCCTCCCAAAATTGAGTGCCAAAAGTCTAAAACTGCATAGCGAGGTTTATCACAAGGCCCAGTTAATAGTATTAAAGTGTTATAGCCCTTACTTTTCTTGCTGCTGTGAGGAATTATTTGTTAACAAGCAACTGAAGAGAGAAGGGTAGGGTGTGTGTATGTGTGTGTGTGTGTGTGTGTGTGTGTGTGGAGAGAGAGAGAGAGAGAGAGAGAGAGAGAGAGAGAGAGAGAGAGACTTTTACAGTACAAAAAGATACAGTCCAAGAGAGTGGGGAAGGGATTGTAGCAGGAACAGGAAAAAGCTATCCTATTGCATTCATACTCGGGAAGCAGATTGAATAAGAAGTAAACACCAACCATAAAACCTCACTTTTTCTCCATCTCCAAGCCAGTAATCTATGTCTTTCAATTAGGTTATATATCCTAAATGTTCTTCAACCTTCCCAAGAAATGTCACCAGCTAGAGACCATGTAGTGAAACACAGGAGCCTATGGGAGACATTCAACATTCTTACAAGAACAGCTGTTAATGTATAATTTTATGTCTGGGTTATCTACACTATTTCATTCTTCCATGTGTCATTTATTTTTTTCAAATTGCAACTTATGGTTATAATTATAATTGCACCATCTGCCCCCTACCTTTCTTCCCTCTAAATCCTCCTGTCTTGTTAGGGTTTCTATTGTTGTAAAGAGCCAGCATTATCACAACAATTCCTATAAAGTAAAACATTTAATCGAGGATGATTTACAGGTTCAGAGATTTAGTCCTTTATCCTCATGGCAGGAGGTATGACAACTCGCAAGCAGACATGATGCTGGAGAATGAATTAGAGTTCTACATCTGTATCATCTATAGGCAAGGGGAAGAGAGAGATCCTGGAACTGGCTTCAAACCTTTATTCAGTTTATCTCTGTATCTTTCAGCTTTTTGGAGATGGCTTTCAAAACTCAAATCCTTCATTCTTACTTGT